TCTTATGTGCAAAGTGTGTGTAATTTCTCGGTGCGCCGGCCTTAAAATTAACTTGCGGTGATAGTACCTATGTCAACCTATATAAAGCTTGATGTCTGCAGTGCCATTACTTGCAACTGGAGAGACTACCATCAGTTGGTTACATGGTACATATTGGCCAAACCTTAAAACTAAAGAAGCATCAGTTACAGCATTACTGAGGACAAGATATTGACGTTCCATATACGGTCATGAAGCGATTTGGGTTCAATTATAAATCATAGGGGTGGCACTTTGTACAATTCATAATCCTAGGATGAAGTCTATGCAGAGTGGTCAAGGTGAGTTAACCCATTCGCCCCATGTGGCAAGAATACATGCCATGCCCACTGCAATACACGTTTATTTATTGTATTTACACATAGATGGTTCTACAAGTTCTTAATCACCAAATAGCCAGTTTATCAGAACTACCTATCTCACCTGTTTACCCTTTTCCTTCACTTTAGGAAAGGTTCTTTTGTATCATTTCATTGTCTAAAATATTTTAATGACAATTTATTAACCATAACATCATAACATCTTTTTTTTTTTTTTTTTTTTTTTTTTTTTTTTTTTTTTTTTTGTTGGATTTCTTGGCTATCAACCAGCGGCATGTGGCCAAGGTTATTAAGCCAATGGATCCTATTTATTCTATCAATCTATATAAGGTCATAAAGTTTTGTCTCCCTTAGAAAAGCAATTACTTTAGTTATTATTTTTTCATCATCTGATAAGATATTTGTTATTGTAAATTCTTTATTTTTCATCTGAAGGTAATTTTTAAGGTTTCTTCTATTATTATTGTATTTTTGGCAGGTTGTTATTATGTGTGGTATTGTGAGACTGGTATTGCATTCAGGGCACTGTGGAGGGAATCTTTTCTCTATATATGGCGTGAGGTGGGTGAGTCTTGTGGCGTTTGTTCTTAGGCGCGCCAGCACCACTTCTTCTCTTCTGTTTCTTCTGTGGGCTGTGTCCCACGTTTCTATTTCGGTTTTGATCTTGCTGGTGAGTTGGAGGTTGGTCCACTCACTTTGCCACAGGAGATGTATTTTTGCTTTTATAAGAGACACAAAACACCTGAGATCTGTACGAACTATGGTAATGTCCAAATCGTCAGTTGACCCGGCTAATTTGTCAGCCTGTTCATTGCCATGGATGCCAGAGTGGCCTGGCACCCATATTAGCTTGATTGATTTGTTGGCATCATGTAACTTACGAATGATATTACCCAGCAATTCATTTTTAGTGGTTTCTAAGGATTTAATAGCTTTAAGTGAACTTAATGAATCTGAAAAAATAACTATGCTATCGTGGGTCGTCGATAGTGCAAAATCAATAGCTTTATCAATGGCAAAAAGTTCAGCAATAAAAATCGATGTATGATTCGGCAGTCGAAACTTCAATTGGCATTCAGTCGACCATACACCCGCACCCACACCCTCATTTGTCTTGGAGCCGTCGGTATATATATGAAAAAAATTAAGATGTTTAATAAGGATCTCTCTGAACCGCTGGCGTACCTCCACCTCCGGCGCCATGGCCTTAGTTGATGGAAGCCAAGCTTCCATGATGGAAAAATTGGGTGTTTCCCATGGCGCTATGTTTGACTGTACCAGGGTATCAAGGGTAGAGAGATCTATACCGACTTTCTCGACGAGGTCGTGGAGTCTTGTGGCAAAGGGCCTAATGCCTCCAATGCCATTGGGGTGGCTCGGGTATCGAGCCACCTTAGCGGCATAGGTCAGAGCTAGTTGGCCGCGTCTGAGTCGGAGGGGAGGTACTCCTGACTCCACCTCAAGACGCTCGATCCGAGTGCACTTCAGGGCTCCAAGACACACACGTAAACAAGCATTCTGCACACTATCCAATCCTTTCAAAGTTGAGTTTGATGCCGATCCATACACGATTGACCCATAATCTACTTTAGACCTAACCAGGGCTTTATATATCATTAGTAAAGACTTTCTATCAGCTCCCCATTTATTACCAGCAATGCACTTTAATAAATTTAGTGCTTTTTGACATTTATTCTTTAACTGACCAATGTGGTCTTTCCAATTAAGTCTACTATCAAAGAGTAGACCAAGAAATCTAGCAGAATTTTGAATTGGTATTGGGTGGTTATCTAAAGTTAATCTAATGTTTGGTATTTTTCTATGTGAAAAAATTACCCCAATACTCTTTCTAATGGAAAACTTAAAACCCCACTGGAGGCCCCAGTTATGAATCATATCCAGTGTTAGTTGGATGCGATTTGCCGAGAACTGTGCATTATTGCTGGAATGCCACAATGCACAATCATCGGCGTACAGTGAGTATTTAAGATTCCGAGGGGGAGCTGGTAGGATGTCATTAATCATACATAGAAATAATGTTGGCGACAAGACACTTCCTTGTGGGACCCCGTTTGCCTGGACAAAAATGTCCGAAAAAGTGACATTGTCAGAAAATAGTTTGACAGCAAACGTTCTGTCAG